AATGAGACACAGAAGAGTTTGTTAAGAAATATCAAGCATGTTAGAAGTTTGGTCTAATATTTAAGGCGCCTCTTGAAGAACTTCATAGTGTTTTATCTACATGGTCGTTCGGTTGATATATTAGGACCTTTTCTTATGACAAAAAACCAAATAAAATTTTAGTAATAGCAATTGATTATTTCACAAAATGAATTGAGACATAACCTTTAGCTATTATTATAGCGCAACAAATGCAAAAATTATTGTGGAAGAATATTATATCTAGACATGGAATCCTTCATATTATAGTTACAAATAATGGAAAACAATTTACTAATAAAAGTTTAGAAAAGTTTTTGGAATATTTATTAATAAAATATTTAGTAACTTCAGTAGAATACCTTCAAATAAATGGACAAGTAGAAGTTGCAAAAAAAGTCATTTTCAATGAGCTTAAATATAAGCTCGGGAAAACAAAAGGGGCTTGAGCTGAAGAAATACCAAGCATCCTATGGTATGGATGATATGATAAGAGTTGAAATAGGTGAGGACTTATAGAGAAGGAAACATTTCGATGAAAATCATAATAATGAAAATGTCATAACAGAATTAGATTTGATTAATGAAATAAGAAACATAACTCATCTACAAGAAGAAGCTATAAAAAGAAGAGTAGAAAGAAGGTATAATACAAAAGTCGGATATAGAAAATTCTAAAAAGGAGACCTAGTATGGAGAAAACTAGGAGAAGCTCGGAAGGATCGAGCATAAGGAAAATTAGTAGCAAATTAGGATGAACCATATCGAATCATATATTCATTTCAAAATAGAGCCTATAAATTGCAAGAGTTGTCAGGGAAAATGATACATCGAACATGAAATGCGACTCATCTAAAATCATATTATAGCTAAAAAATAGATTGAGGTAATGAAGCTCGTCATACTTATTATTTTAGCTTTGAGATCGAGATAATAAAGTTCACCAAACTTATTATTTTAGTCAAGCTAAAATATTGGTCAAGGTAATGAAGCTCATTATACTTATTATTTTAGCCGTGAGCTAAACAAATTAGTCGAGGTAATAAAGCTCACCATACTTAATATTTTAGCCAAACTCAAAAATTCGCCGAGGTAATGATGCTCACCATACTTATTATTTTAGCCTTGTGTCATACATATTTTCCATAGGAAAAGACCGAGATAATGAAACTCGCCATACTTATTTTAGCTTTGAGCAAAACCATACTTATTATTTTAACCTGTAAAAAGAAATTAGTCGAGGTAATGAAACTCACCACACAATGAAAAACAAAATACATCACTATAAGTTGATATTGCTCATATATAAAGTGAAAATTTCATAACACAAATATTATCATAGTGAAAATAGTGTCAAAATTAAACAAAGATTTAATCATCCATAAGTTATCATCTACTATTATTTTCTTTGGGTAAAAAAGGCTAGTATCTATGCATGGACTAATTATAGTGGTCTGTTCAACGATCCTATTAAAATCGTCCTCCAAAATACCTATTAACTGCTCCTCAACAACTTGAAGCTCGACAAATTGTTGATCGAAAGATGTTTGAAGCTCGGCTAGGTTATTCTCAACAACTTTAGCCTTGACCATAACTTCTATTACTTCAACTTTCTCTTTAACTTTAACATCGACCTCATCTAGTAGCTTCTCCACAAACTTAGTCCTCATCACATAAAGAGTGTTTTGTTTCTCAAGATCATTTAATTGAGGTAGAAGAGATTGATTTTCTTTTACCTTGAAAGAAAGAACGACTTCATGATCAATCAAAGCAACTTGAAGCTTATCACACTATTTTTCCAAAGATAAAAACTCCCTCGCCCTTTGAGCCTCCCCTGTGCATGTCAATAGCAATGTTTTTCCAATAAAGGACAATAGACATGCTACGATCCATCGTGACTTCAACATAATTAAGAGAATTAAGAGAGTCAACAATTCTAAACATACTTACATCATGAGGGTAGAGAAAAACATCACCATCTTTCATACCGTCAACGATAAGATTAATGTGCCACATGGAATCCACGTCTGGATTGCTAATTGAGACGTGATCGAGCCAAATAAGAGGACCTTGGGTTCCACGGACCATGTATGTTAAGGGATGAGGAGGAGCTTCTCGAGGAATCCATGACTGAGTAGAGATGGGTGGAGAATTATGGTCAGATTCTATATTGACAACAATTGTAGTGGGAGTAGTCTTGGAAGTGTCAACCTCAGTGTTGCATTAGGAGCCAATGTTGGTTCAACGTTTGTAATTATAAATTTTTTAGGAGTTCATTTAACTCTTTTAGAAGGGTCTCGAGCACTACCCACCTTAACTCGAGTTTTTTGGTAGTCAAATTTAAGAGCCATTATCTCTTAAAAAAAATATTAGTATTAGAAAATACAAAACTCCAATACAATAAGACAATTATGACATAATAAAACCTACAAATTGAGCTTTAGGGTCATCAACAAAAGAAACAGATAGCATGTCTCTACAACTAATGAGACGAGAAAGACTTGATAATATTTTATCTTCAAGAGTAAACAAATGCTCGCCACGAAATTTGAATGTGTGGAACTCTCCGTATAGAGGAAAATGAGAGCTATGATAAAGATAAAAGATGCTCCTCAAGAAGCATCTTCCTGAGAACATTTAACTTAAAGAAACGACTCTTGAATTTTTTAATAAACCACCTTGTTGGGAACCATTCAAGGATACCCAACCAACTTTTAAACAATGTTTTAATTGAAAAACGTATAAAAATTATTGATAGTGGATAACAAATTTAGAACGTCACATAAAATTTGGAATGCTTTCCAAAAATCCTAACTATTGGAATGAAGCTGGACATGTGTAACACAAATGAAATGATAGATAAAACATCACATTCAAAGGGAGTAAAAGAAGAATATTCAAATCCTTAAACAAACATTCATACAAGAAAGTGAACTCCTCAGTATTCAAATCCTTAAATAAACATTCATACACAAAAGTGAACTCCTCAGTATTCAAGGTAGGTTTAATGTATACACGATCAATGGAAGAACTAGTTTCAACCAAAATGAATGCGATAACAAACTCATAAAAAATGTCATAAGTCTTCCAAACATCTTCTACTAAAGAGGGAGAAGTAAAAACAGAGGAATAATATCCTACTTCCCCAATAACCTAAGAATAATCGAGATCAGAAATTGGGGGAAATCTACCCCTTTCGAGTTTTTCTAGTATAATTCAAATCCCTTCTAGGATTTTAGGAAGACTCGCTAAAATCACCAAAATGCTAGTAGAAGATATGATCCTGAAACGTACTTAAGAGAGAATTTGAAAGAAATAAATTTGCAGATGGTTGGAGAAGAAGACTTGAGTAAGGAGGAACACAAAGAGTTGATGATGAAGAATAAAGAAAGTTGAAGACAAAGATATGTAGTAGAAATCGAGAACCACTTATTGGGCACAATAATCAAGAAAAACCCCAAAACAACGTAACATAATGGCTAAAACCTCTCATTAACGCATGTTAGAAGTCATGTTAAGAAGGTGAAAAGACATAGCCGGAGAACATTAGTTGATCCTATTTATATGTAAAAGCTCAACTCCTCCTAACTGGTCTTTTAAAGCTCTTAATAAACAACTCAAGCATATAGGAACTCAACTTAAAAATTAAACTCTTCATTTTTAGATTTTGAGTTTGGGGGACTTGTATACTTACCCAAAATTATTTTAATGAAAAAATTTCACCCAAATAATTATGTTGAATGTTTATTAATATTCATTATGGTAATAATAATACACAAAGAATCTTCACATTTAATATTATAAATAAGTACATTAATGAATATTATTTATTACTCAAAATAATGTTGGTAAGAAATTTATAAATTACATTATTTTATAGTATAGAAACATCTTTTTCAAAAATATCATATATAGTATAAATTACCTTTGCAATTGAACCTCTCTATTTTCCCTAATCACCAAAGCTCGAATTTAATCATCACATTGTGACTAAGACTCGATTAGTTATTTATATTGTTTTTGTTATATTTTCTTTTGATAAGAACAATTTTTTTTTAAATTTAGTATTTAAAAATTAAAGTCATATTTTACTAAATTTGAAGAAATGAAATATTTTTTAATTTAAAAAACTAAAAACTTACTTATAAAAACAAAATTTAAAAATAAAAACATAATAGGTATACTACCTATCAAATAATTATTAACTTGCTCAAGGTGGGAATGATAGATGAAAAGGAAGGGGGAGAAAAATAAATTGGCAGAGAAAATAAAAGAAATAGGAAGAAGATGAATAAACAAAATTAGAAATAAATTTTAATGTTTTGTTTGTATTATGTAAAGTGAGGAACACAATATATTGTATTATTATATTATTTATCAAATAATTAAAATTCAATTTTATTTATAATTATTTTTCTTTTTTCATCCTGTTTCTTTTATATTTTATTTTCTTAATTTCTCTCTTCAAAATTAAATAAACTCTAAATATTTGAAAGTAAAATCTATTAAATACTCAATAATTAAGGATATGTTAGAAGTAAAAAAAAAACCAATCAAGTATTTTTTTTTATAGACCCTCTTTCTAAATTATTATAATACAAATAAATATTCTGAATTATTAAAACAAATGAATGATAATATTTTCCATAAAAGATCAGAAATTGATTTTCTTACATCTATTATAATCCATTTTAATAAACAATATATTTTCTATTCCAAATAAAAGAAATATTTTATTAATTAAATTAAAAATATAATAAATAAATAAAACCTAATGATTCAATTTTCATTTATATAAAATTATCATTTCTTTAGGTTATCTTTTTTCTTTCTAAAATTTATTAATATTTTTTAAGTGAAGAATATAGAGATTTGATAATAACTCATTTTTACTCATGTTTTTGCCTCACACGTAGTTTTGTTAGGTTAGGGGGAGCAGAGAAAGTTCATAGGAAGAAGAAGAAACTAAAATATTAAAATTGATGGAGAAATTGAGAAGAGTGTTAAATGAGATAGCCTATGCTCACACTCTTTCTCACCTCCCTCCACTTCACCGTTCTCTGGTCCCTTTCCTTTCCATTGCCTCTACACTCTATAAACTTCTCCTCTCACTTCGCGGCTCACTTTACCAACATCGCTTCTTTCAGGTCCAACGGTAACGAATTTTCCCCTTTTCAGTCAGAATTTGGGAACATTCAATGAAATTGGAGTTGGAATTCTTATACTTATGCGATTTGATTGACTGCTGTTATTGTTTTGTGCGTGTAGTTTGCCAGTTGGTGTGATCAGCGTTGGTAATTTGAGTTGGGGAGGCAATGGGAAGACGCCCATGGTGGAGTTCATTGCTCTCTGCTTTTCACGTAACGGAATTTCACCCCTCGTTCTTTCCAGGGTATTCTTTTTTTCTTTTTGCATTTTCCGATTTTATGGGTGTCACAGTTTCTTCTTGGTTCAATTGTTTAAAGACCAGTGATCCCAAGATAAGCCGAAAAAGCATGCGGTTTTATAAATGATGAATGTACTTGGATAAATTGTTGAGTTTTGTAGTGGTTATATATTAGGAGAGAATCTTATTTATTTATTTTTTTCTAGGAGTGTTTCATGAACAGTTTATCCATGTATTGTTTAAAACAGTCATCGGTCAGGTCATTGAACAAATTAGTGACACGTATTTGTAAAGACTCATGACCGTTAAATTTCATATTAAAACAAAAATGTAACTGTCCTGATGCAAAAAAGCTCCCGAGTATGAAAAGATATGAAAGAAAAAAATTGTATGTAGCCTTTTGAATCCAACGACCACTTTACACCGTTTTGTATCATTGGTTCCGCTGTAAGACCAGTTTGACTGGCTAGTCTGAACCAGCCTAGATAAATATGATTATAAGCGCATAAAGGATTAACTTAGTTTGATAATTGGCTAACAGGTAAATTAGCTTGGTTTCACTAAGTTGCTTAGCTTGACTATTGTATTTGACAGGGTTATGGTGGTGGGGATGAAGTCAACATGCTTCGGAGGCATTTGCTTGGGACACCAACTAAGTTTGGTGTTGGTGCTAATCGAGCTGCTGTTGCAAGTCATTTTATCCAAAAATATGGCTACATTGATATTTGTAAGAGTTCATGGCATGAGAAACAATACCTTGAACTAAAGGTCCAGGGTTCTCTTGATTCAGAAAAAATTGGGGTTGTAGTTCTTGACGATGCTATGCAGGTAATGCAACTCTTCTCCTCACTTTATTATTTTCCTCCCTTTGTTGATTAACTATTTCATGATTTTGTTCTTAATGATCCTGAAAACACCTTGTTCCCCAATTGCAATCTGCTCTGATAGTTATATGTTCATGCTCCTTTCATTAGCTACTGCTTTTCTACCAGTGACACAAATGCTGGAAATTAAGATTTACATTTTGCCTTGACATGGCATTTGCTCTACATGTAAGGCAGCATTGGAGCTTGTGGAGAGATTTGGATATTGTAATGGTTAATGGATTAACTCTTTGGGGTAACCTTCAACTGCTGCCCCGTGGACCATTAAGGGAACCTTTGACTGCTCTTAGACGAGCTGATGCAGTTGTAATCCATCATGCAGACTTGGTATGACAAAATGATATTCGTAGTTCTCTTTTCAAGAAAAAATTGCATACCTTTTTGGCAAACTTTTCTTTCAACAATGTAGGTTTGTGGATTGCATGACCATTTAGGGTTTGCTGAGTTTTAAAAGCATGTCATATTACTGAAAATTGTACTCTGGTAGAACAGGTCTCTGAGCATACCCTCAAGGATATTGAATCAATGATCCTAGGGATTAAAAAGTCTGTTCCTATTTTCTTTACAAAAATGGATCCAACTTACTTATTTGAGGTGGGAATTATCAATGTCAAAATACCATTGACGGCTATTCATGAAGCTACTATATTATGTGTTTCTGCTATTGGCTCCGCGGAGCCTTTTGTGAAGAAGATTCAGAAGGTATTCCTCTTCAGTAGTTTCTCCTTATGCTCATGAAATTTATCTTATATCTAAACACAAAGATATTAATTGACTGTTTCATTTTAACATGCTAAGACTTATCTACCATTTTATCTAAAATCATAAAATTTTGAAATTTCTTAACATTCGATTCTATAAGAAGTAAAATAACTCAATACTAGATAGTAAAATGCTTAACTAAGTGGGTGAGATTCTTGTCACAACTGTTTAATATATAATATAGTAAATACTAATTTATACTAGAAAATTATTGGCTATGGAATTGAGAGACAGTAGGGTTAAATGGGTGTTCCAAACATAATGAGTGACACACTCCAACCTCTTTGTTTGCCATGCTATCTACATATAATTTTGTTTAGATTTTAAGTGGATTCTTACTCTCTTTTCTCCTTACTTCTGTCTGTATTTATTGTTTGACCTCTAAACTGCAGTTAACTTGATGCTGATGCAGATGGGAGCACTTTATGTTGATCGAATAGATTTCAGTGATCATCATATATTCCATTCCGAGGTACACTTTTCTCCCGACTTTTGTTGACTGGTGGCATGCTATGTTATTTCTAAACACCATTTAAACCATTTATGTGTTCTTTTTGCTGCTGTTTAAAATGGTTTGTGAGAAAACTGCATGAGATCATATTGAGCCTTGCCTACTTCCATTCATTATTCAATTTTGAATTTTCTTATGTGGTTTAGTTTTTCATTGACTTAGATGCTATTATACAATATTTTCAATTAATCCAGGATATTGAGGTAATTAGAGTCAAACTTGGAGAACTAGAGGGGAAGTTTGGTTCCAAACCAATTGTTGTAATAACTGAGAAGGTAGGTAGACATACTTTTCATATACATTTTTTGTGTGTATGTATTGAGTTACATATATTTGTTAGCATCTGGAATCACAGCCACTTGTTTATTTCTTCTTGGCAGGATTATGATAGGGACCCTGAAATTCTTAAGCAATTGTATCCATTTAAAGTTTTTGTTCTCTGTTCTGCATTGAAGTTTCTGCCCTATAGAGGAAGCACAGAAGATAGCTTTAAGAAATTTCTGAAGGACCATTTAAAATTAGAATGGCCTCTAGCACGTTAATCTTATGTCACTGATCCTGGTTATTTTTATATAGATGATGTTATTTTTTCCCCTAATTATACTAGAGGCCGTATAAAGTTGATGCATATTGCTTTAAGAGACTAATTATATAAAAGGAGAATGATTGAACTACTAAAGTATCTTTATATTCTTGAGGAATATTTTGTTACTTTTTCTTTAAGGACCAAATTGAGTACAGCGATACATTTTTTTTTTAAACCGGATCTTACTTTTTTGTAAAATTAGTATATGAAAGTCTGAGTATTAGTCAATTTAGTTTCTACTATATATACTATCTTAGTCTTTGAAATTACCAAATTTTAGTCCATGGCTTCTGTTATTTTAGGAACTAAAGTAACCATCCTTTGGTAGTTTATATGTCCAAATTAAATGTCATTTTTTGGTAATTTGATGACCTAAAAAAATGACCAATACTATTTAAACGATTCATTTAATGCATTGTGAAAAAATAATCATTAATTTTAATCTTTTGGGTGCTTGATTCACCTATAACTCTTCATTATAAGCTATAGCTAATTAGATTGTTCTTTCCCATCTCATGACATGATGTACAACAGGACAGAAACTCAAAAAATGGGTTGAATTCAAATCCATAAATTAAATATTCCAATCTAATCCCCTTGTTTGAAAGTGAACGACCTTTTCGTGAAATTCAACAATTCTGAACACATCTCCTGTATAATATTCTTTTTCTGAGATCCTTCCAGACCTCAAAAGTAGATTCCATCCAATGGAAATAATCTATGATAGGACCATGCATGATCTAAAAGGTGGATTTGTGGTTTGCATAGAGTTCCATCTATAAACTAGATTTTATTCTTCAAAGCAAGAATCATTAGGATGAAGAAAACAAGTGCTCAAATAATCTGTTGAAGGATTCGTCACTGCCAATCTAAGGAAATTCTCAAAAGAAAAAAAAAAAAAAACACTTTAAAAAGAGCAACAGAGACTGAATTAAGAGAACGGAAAGGTTCTGAGGATTTTAATTGCTCATATTAACACAACGAAACTTAAAACGGTGAAGCGTTCGTACCACGTTGCATGAACTCAAGTTAGAGAAGATGGCAGTTTGGAGTTCTTTAAAATTATTTTTAAAAACTAACAAAAAAAATCAAACAAATCTTAATTATTATAGCATCTCCAAAAATGAGTTTTTATTAAAAGTTGCTTAAAAATATTTAATTTTATTTTATTATAGATTTTACAATTGAATGACTTAAAACTTAATTAGAATTATTTATATAAACAACTTTTTTTTAATTTTAAGTAATTTTTTCATTCTTAAATAACTTAAACGTAAAATTTATAATAAAATATTTATTTTTATTTCTAAAGAAGATGTTCTTTAAGTGTCAACAAAATTATAATTTATACTTTTAATTTAATTAAAAAAATAAAATTTTATTTCATTATAATAAATTAAGTGGTATTTTAATAATGGACATAACATTTATAAAAATAATAATAATAATAGGTTACTATTTTTAGATAAAACATTTTAATTTATAGTTTTACTATTTTTAATTTCATTAATTATATAATGCACAATAAACAAATAATGAAGTTTAAATTTGAGTTTAATCTCTAATATTAACAAGTGGTACAACTTGTTAAGAGGTAAAAAAAGGTGATAATGATCCAAAGTTTCGTAACTTTATGTATATTTATGATTTTAATTTTCTAACTTAATAATAATTAAATATATATATTTACAATTTTTTTATTCATATTTTTATATTCTTTCTGTTTATTTTTTATTTATTAATAATATAATATTTGATCATAAAATAATTGGTCAAGATCCCTCACAACCATTAATAATAATTTTTTTAAGATATATGAGACTATTAATAAATTCTATAAAAAGGAGAATTTTGAATAATTAAAAAATTTTGAATTTTTAAATGTTTTAGTTTTCTACCATGATTTTTCTTGTTAATATTTTATGGTAACTTTGTTAACTTTTATATCAACACTAAAATATCATGTAGAGACTAAATACGTGTTTTTTTTTTAAAATCATCATAAGAAAGACAATTTGTGAGGGTTCCAGGTACATAGTTAATAAATTTATTAACGATCAAAAAGTCCTTTAAATAAATAAAAAATAACACGTGCATAAAATGTAAATAATCACATACAAAATTAATGGTCACATATTTCATATTTTAGAATCTAACTATAAAAACTAAATGCAATTCTTTTCTATGGGGACCAATATATGAAAAGAAATTTTGAAGAGATCAGAAACAAAATAATTTTACCAGGACATACCGAATTTTAGTCTTTTCATTTTTATAAAAATTTTTAGTACGTTCCAATTCATACATTTAGTTAAAAATTAAGCTGTTTTAGTTTTGCATCAAAGATTAAAAACTACTATTTTTGGAAAAATATAAAAATTAAAATCGTATTAAATTTTAAAGAAACTAAAACTTTGAAGGATAAAAGTCCCACTTTAATTACCCAATATAATATTGAAGTTAAGACTTTCCCTGAACTTATGTTTTCTAATTACTAAAATTATAAATAAACTATTTTAATAGTTAAGTTTGAATAATAATATTAACAATAAACTTAAAGTTTTATATTTAGCTAAAATATATTTTAATCTTAAAAATTTCAATTTCTGATTTATTTATTAGTTGCTATGCATTGCTTTAATTAAAATATAATAATAACTTAATATATACTTTATTTTAAATTAAAAAAATTAAAATTATAAAAACTTAATATATGTGCGTTGTATATTGTTGCGATGAGGGAGAAAAGCTTTTGACTCTATGTTGGCAAGCATAATCGACTGAAAAGAAAATTATTATTTTAAAATAAAACGCAAATATTTATAAATAAAAAAATTATCCTTGATTTTGTATCTTTTATTAAAATAATAAACAAGATTAGACCAATATGATTAAATAACAAAATAATGTCTCAAATCTTATATGAGAAATAATAAAATATTTATTACTATTAACATTTCTAACTCTTATATTATCAACCAAATAATCAACAATAATATTAATATTTTTGAAAATAAATTTAGTGTGGATTATAAGACTAATATATTAAGAATATTATAAATAATTTATTATGAGAGTGTGTCTTAATTTATAAATAATAAAAAAGAGTATTAAATTACAATTTTTATTTTTATTTATATGTTTTATAATAGACTTTAAAAGTTTGATTTAATATATGGTTGAAATGGCATTAATGATGCCGCGTTGAAATAAAGATGGAGCGAGTGATGCTGTCGGCAGTTTTTGTTGTGTCATAAATTGGAAACCCTTTCCTTTCACATTCTCTCCCTTCAAACTTCTTCAACTTTGGTACGTCAACAATAAAGCCACCTTGGTAGACAAGTCAAACTATACTTTCAATCAATTTTTACTTCAATTATTTTTATTTTAATATTTTGAGGTCACTTCTCACTTCAATAAATATAAAAGAGTGGTGTATAGGAAGGGAGTTGAATGGATTCTAATGAAAATTGGACTATGTTAAATTATTTAAGATGGTAAAAAAATATAATAATTTTTTTAAATAAAGAATAATATTATTTTATTAATATATATTATAAATTATTTTGATTGAAATATATTAATATATTATTTTTTTTATAATTTATATATTAAATTATTATATTTTAAATAAAAACTAATTTTATTGATATGATTTAAATTTTAAAAATATATTTTTATTTAAATATTATTTTGATATAAATATATTAATATTTTTTATATTAAATTAAATATAAAAAATTAATTCAACTCTATTTTTGAAATCTTTCATATGTATTTTTACCTTTCTAATTAAATTCATCTTAATCGAATTTTTTTGGACTAGGTTCGTTTGATTAATTAGATTATAGATTTAAAAAAAATACTATTTACTATTTAGAATTTTTAGAATATTTTAAATACTCTATTATTTATTATTTAAATAATTTAATAAATATAATATTTAAAAAATATATAGTTAGTTAATATAATAGTTAAATAATAATCATATATTATTATTATTATTATTATTATTATTATTATTATTTAATATTTTTTATTTGATGAATTATATTAGTGATAAATTAAACATATAAAACTTGTTATTAGTAAAAATTGAATTAGATCAGATTTAAATCGACGATATAAAAATATGTAACCATTATACTCGGGTTTTAGATTGTGTGGAGGAGTTACAAATCATATAAACACTCCTATTCTTTTAAATAAATATATTTTTTAATATTATTAGTCTTTATTAAATATAATGTGAACAAAACCCTTCAATGTCTTTTTCTTTTGTTCAGATTACTAATTACAGCATAAACTCTTCCATAAAGATTATCTTTTTCTGCCAATAAATGGGTAAAACTTAAAAGGAACATGTTAAAGAATAATAATTATATTTTATTAAATCATAAAGCACTATCATAGAGTAAGGGTGCATTAATTGCTTTAAATCATAAAACATTTCAGATTATCTACAACCATCAATGAAGTTTAGATTATTTAATTCAAATTTAGTGGTCCCAAGAACTAGTAGTTTCATATTAATTTATAAAGAAATATTAAATTATTCTAAAATAAGATTTCATCCATCATTTTTAAGTTGTCTATTGAAACTGTAAAATTAGGAGAAAATAATAAATATTTTTTTTAAAATTACTCTTAAACTAATTTTATCTCCTCTTAATTTATTTTAAAACATGGGATTAAAATAAGTTTACATTCAAAAGTTAGAAAAAACACGTACTTGAACATGATGTTGAGTTTCCGATGAAATTCAATTGCAAGAAGAAACAATAAATATGTCCACTAAATTTTTCTTCAATGGTATATATTTTACTTGAGTTTCTGATGCCATGCTATGCAAGTCAGTGCAAACCTTTCCATGGTCTGAGAAAATTCAGAACTTGTTAACTTGAAGAGTGGATTAGCTTAAGCAGAGGTTAGAGAGTTCATTCAGCATCAGTCAAAGTACACAGATTTTTATTTTTATTTTTCCTGTGACAAAGACAATTTCAATTTTTGATTGTGCCCATCACCAATCTCCAATCACCAGTTAACAAAACAAGATACAATATGAACCAGATTGGGTTGACATTGAGTATCTGGAGATTACTCTTTTTTGCTCCAACATCTGTCACTACTCACTTTTCACTAGCCTTACTACAAATTCTCCTTTTCACACTTGTCAAGTTTTTGGTTTTTGCTTCTTTAAATCTCTGACCAACCCTTCTCTGATTCCACACACCGGTTCTTAGCAGGATCATTCCAATATGAGGAACAGAATTGTGATGGGAAATTACCTTCTCTTTCTCTGTTTCTTCATCTTCAGCTTAGGACTCTTGGAGGCTCAAAAGGCTCCAGCAGTTTATGTGTTTGGAGACTCACTTGTTGATGTTGGCAACAACAATTACTTGAGTTTATCCATTGAAAAGGCAATTCTTCCTCACTATGGCATTGATTTTCCAACTAAGAAACCCACTGGGAGATTTAGCAATGGCAAGAATGCTGCAGATTTAATTGGTAAGTGATTCAAAATTGACTCTTTATATTTGTTCTTCAAAACTTCCAGACAATATTTTTTTACTGCAGGTTACCTTGGTAGATGATAATCTTAACTATTATGAACAGTATCAGCTTCTTTGCTTCCCTATTTCAATATTAAACTTGGAGAATATCACTTTTCATGTTTTTTCATCAGTGTAATTAAGTTGTATAGTTTCTGCAAGTTTAGTAAGTTAGAATTATTACATAAGGAAGCTTCAATTGGCTAGAATTTTGCTGTTAAAATAAATATCTGCCATGGGCAATAATTTAAGAGCAACACTTTAAGCAATATTCCTTATTTTCTGCAAGGAATTCTCTTGTAAGAAAATCTTGGTTGATGGGATAGTGTCCAAAAGGCCTAAAAGGGTCATCAACATGGGAATCTGAAGTACATGTTTTCTTGTATTGACTTCAGAAAGATTTATATAGTTTAAATATATGCTTTATGGAATATGGAATATAGGCTATAGGGAAACCAAAGGCACTTGGTTTCTAGAAAGTGAGAAAGAAAAGATTGACATATTTTCCTTTTGATTGGGAGACAGAGAAAACTTGTATCGTACATAAAGGAGCAAAAAGTTAATGCCTCGAATATTGATATTAATAGTACAAAATTACAAATTATGTTTTGCTAATATTTGCATCAAATGAATTGTTGGATGACAGCTGAAAAATTGGGCCTACCCACTTCACCACCTTATCTCTCTCTACTATCTAAAGTCCACAACAACAGCAAGAACATATCTGTTTTGGGTGGTGTTAACTTTGCCTCAGGAGGTGCTGGAATATTTAATGCCTCAGATAAAGGTTTTGTAAGTATAATTCTGATTTCTCATTCTGATTACAGTATAATTGGAATTAACATGTGAATTTTCTTAGATTAATAAATAACATATCAAAGATTATGTTATTACCAATGAAAAAGAACAAAAGTAAAAAGCAAAATTACCTTAAGTAATAGACTACTGGTTTATGCACCCAAAAATTCAAAATGATAAGAAAATGACAAAATAAGGAAAATCTTCCCCTGACTGAACTATCCCTTCTGCATGACGTTTCTTGCAGATGCAATCAATTCCTTTGCCAAAGCAAGTGGACTACTACTCACAAGTGCATGAAAAACTGACACAACAAATAGGAGCTTCTACTCTTGAGAAACACCTCTCAAAGTCCATCTTCATTGTGGTGATTGGTGGCAACGATATCTTTGGTTACTTTGACTCACAGGATCTTCGAAAGAAAAACACCCCTCAGCAGTATGCAGATTCCATGGCTTCCACATTAAAAGTGCAACTACAGGTAGTAAGACCATGGTTGTAACTAGTAAGCAGCAATTTGGTGTGTTTGAACTTGTGCTTGCAAATTTGATTTTGAACGAAATTGGTAATGAAACTTAATTTTGAAGGGGTTTAAATTAGATGTGAGTATTTTCATTTTAAAATCAAGTTAGTAATAAAACTTAACATGAGAATTTTTCATCTGAAGCAAAAATTATCTGGAGTTATTTTGAATATAAAATCAATTTCCCAATATGAAATCAAACATGAGAACATTGTCTAAAACCATGTCAATGGATATTTCAATGTAACTGTAGATAATATACAGAGGATCCAAAAGTGCACTTACGTCAAAACACAAAACTTGTAGCATAAACATGAATTTCATTTTGGTTTGTCAACTTTTTGGCAGAGATTATACAACAATGGTGCAAAGAAATTTGAGATTGCTGGTGTTGGTGCAATTGGGTGCTGCCCTGCATATAGGCTTAAGAACAAAACAGAATGTGTTTCTGAAGCCAATTACTTGTCAGCCAAGTACAATGAAGCTCTTCAATCCATGTTAAAGAAATGGCAATTGGAAAAAAGGGACATAAGTTATTCCTACTTTGATACTTATGCTGCCATTCAAGAACTCATTCAGAATCCAACTTCTTACGGTATTAACATATTACCCTTTATCTCTTTATAATATTGGTGTAAACATTGGAAGTTAGGACACCATACCAAACATAAACAGCTTGTTAGATATAACCTTCTTGAAATTATTCAATAAAATTAGTAAATTGTGGATTTAATATTTATAATTACTTTACAAATCATGTAATACTAACATTCATGTTTAATACTTTACAAAGTTTTTAGAAATTTGTTTCAGCTGACTCCATATTGTTATTATTTTCATCAACTATTACTATTACTTTTTTACATAATTTCAATTAATTTACATAAATGTATTTATTCTAATTTATAATTATTTTATTAGGATAAAAAATTTATTTTTGATTTTTTTTCATAAAAACCTTAAAAGACATTAAAATAATTATAAAAAATATTTATTAAAATTGGTAAGAACAACCATCCTACTTTTTTTATAAAGAATCTAGTACAAATAGATTTTATTTGGATAAGTATGTATATTAATAAGTTTTGAACTTATTAAGATTTTATTTGGATAAGTATGCATACCCCTTGTACATAAGTTTTGTAAAAATCATTAATTTTGTTATAAAATACTATAATAAGATCATAACTATAAGCCAATAAAACAGTACAGTGAATCACAAAGTTTTAAGTAAAAGTTGACAAGATAAAGGGCAAGATGTTAACATAAATTTTGTGTCCCTTCTACAGGATTTACTAATGTAAAAGTTGCTTGTTGTGGACTTGGTGAGCTGAATGCCCAAATTCCATGCCTGCCAATTTCAAACATTTGTTCCAACAGACAAGACCATATTTTCTGGGATGCATTTCACCCTACAGAGGCAGCTGCTAAAATCTTTGTGGATGAAATTTTCAGTGGAACTTCAAAATTCATATCTCCTATTAATATGGATCAGCTACTGGCTATCTGAATTGGCTAATCAGTTATTACCTTTGTAATCTGCTTCTCTTATTTTGGGGTTACTTGTTATCAAACAACAATAGAATAAAGAAACGAGAAAGAATATTATTAGTTAAACTCATATCAATAGCACTAAATCTCTGCTCCTTAGTACTGTTATGTTCCTATGTACAAATAAGGTCAAACTTGAATTTTGTAGGTCAGAAAAAAATATATTTGAAAAGTTTATTCATTAAAAATGACCATGCAAAATAATAACAACGAACCAACACACCATTCAATAATAGACAAGCATCAAAGGAACTATATCAATAAGAATAAACTTTCTAGAATGACCCAAGAACACTTTTGAACATTAGGTTAGAAAGGGCCGCGAAAAACGCAGGCCCACACTCAGAAATTATGACGTAGATTCTACCGTTGGCAGAATCTTAGATCAGAAGCCTTACATAAGTGCAATGAAAGTTTCTGATCTAGGCCGTGGATTTTCCTGATCACCCTTCGACCCCATCCAGGTATGTAATTTCTTAAATTTCAAATTTCAATAATATATATTTCATCCTTCAATTCATTTTGGCTTACATTTTCTGATGTGGGACTCATAAGACAGGACACTTCACACACAGCTCAATGCTCCTTCCAAACTTGCAGCAGCACAGTTGAAAACCCGATGGCATTGGGGTGATTCTTGGTTGGGGAAATAAATTTTGAGCCATGTTTGTGCATTTTCTTATTCTGTGTTTGAACTGAAATTTGTAAAACTATGTCTAGATAAAATCTATTTTGCAGAAGTAACTCTCTAGATTTGGCATAACTAAATCCGTTCAACCTGGCATTTCAACAAAGCATCTTAATCCCAGATACTCTATTTCAGGAGAATGAGAATGAGAAAATAATTTAAAATTCACAATTAAAATACACTGAAATTAACATAATATTCAATAAAAATAAAGCATGGAACTTTTTCATTTCAAGTACTCCACAAAAGTAAGACATGGAAACTTATGATTTGATGCACAAAACAGAATAATACTTCAAATTGCAGTAAGTATGATTTGATGCACAAAACAGAATAATACTTCAAATTGCAGTAAGTTTAACTTGGCATCCTTCATTGAATATAACTTTCAACTACAAATAGAATATAACTTTTAACTGGAAATAGGATAGGATTGCGCGAACGCAAACCCCACAACCACAAATTATGATGCAGGAACTGTCCTAGAACAGACCATAGAGCTATGATCCTCCTACGGTGCAATAGAGGTCCTAGTTCTAGGTTATGGACCTTAATGATCATCCATCAACCACATCCAGGTAAGTATGTAAAACAGTATATAAACTTAAAGTTTATAGCTCATCCACTCTCTCACATTACTTAATGTTTTAAGTGTGGGACTAATCTATTTCCAAATGATTATGCAGAGATGCAAGTATGTTAATCTAAATAAGAGAGATTTATGTCCCAGGAATCCATGGCAAGTTCACCTTAATCATTTAGTAGGATATGTTGAATGAGGTTGCAGAAACACAGTTGAAAACGATCTAATGATTTTTAATTAGGCCTCTAAAAATTCTTAAAGCAAGTTTTCGTGTCTTCTTGTTTTACAATTTACACATATATAGATGTTTTTCTTTGTACATTGATGAAAACAATTGATAAACCTTCTTGTCAAACAAAAACTATTCATTTAATCAGTTAGAGCAAACTAAAAAGAGGAAATCAGGTTCTATGTTCTTTCCTTACCATAATATTACCTTTTTCCTCTAGCCTCTAACTCAAATAAAAAATGGCCTCATCTCTGCCAAATATGAGCTTCCAATATCAATTCTTTTAGCAAAATGAACAAATTTTCCAGTGTCAAACTGTTGCCACTGTCAACAAGAAATTAATCTTTCTGCGATGGAGTTGAAGCAAACTTGCAGAGGTCAAAGCAACAGCATTTGCAACCAGAGATGAAAGGGACACAGGCTTCACCAAAAGTTTCTCTAGTCTCAAGTTCATGGTTACAGTCATTGGTCATTAGAATGCTACCTTTCAGTTATTAAGACTTTGTTATGAACTCTACAAGGCCCAATGAACATGACTGGGAGGAGAAAATGTATCAGCCTTTTATTTATTTTTTTATCTTTTTAATTAATTATATAAAAAGTAAAAAACTATTTTTTATTTTATTTTCTATCATGAAGCTAACAAAAAAAGTTATTATTTCTTTAAAATAAGTTAGTTTAAACGTACTAAATATAATTAGCTTTAAAGATACAATCTTCTATTGTATATTTGAATAATTTAATCCCGAAGGTGGTGGTTTATAAGACCAAATTTGTGCACAATATCTTTAAAAATCTGGGAGTGACACCTTGTGTATCTTTTAAGGATTAATTGTAACTTTACTCGTAATTTTAATGTATTTTTTTTAAATTACATCATAATTTTGCATAATTAGTAATTTCTAAATACTATTTAAGAGTTTTATAGAAGCTCATAATTAAACTCCAGATACTTTATATTTCACTCCTGCTTTATCTCTCTCTTTTTTAAGTGTTTGAAATATATATTGAGATTGGAAGAAATTAATAACTTTCCCATAATAAATTAGAAAGGATAACAAAAATAAATAAATAAACATGCAATAAAAATGGATCTCTAAATATTAATATACAATTTGGACACGAATTATTCATTTAATGCCTACAAAGTTTTCGATTAAATATAGTTTATGTTACACCTAGACAGAAAGTGAGTCATATTACTCTTTTTCTGTTGGAAAAAATAAGGAAAGGATAACAAAAGTGGGCCACAGTAGGACTTCACAAGCTACATAAAGGACAAATACATTGGAATTTGGAATATGTTTCCAAATCCCATCAAAATATGGAAATATAGCTGCTAAAGAATTGTGTAGAGAACTCTAGATCTGCCTCGAACTGAAGTCGCCATCATAAGTATCAGATTTTTTATAGCTTATCTGGGTCCAGAAATGTCCAATGCGCCCTATAAATTTAAAGGCAAACATAAGCTTCTCAATGCCCTTTGCCTTACCATAGCATTGACATCTCTCTAGAATATTTTCCTAAAAGAAAAATGGCGTCAACTGTAGTACCAAATATGAGTTTCTATGCCTACACTTCACCTAACAAAATTTCCAGTGTCAAATTGCAACCATTGTCAAGCACAAGGCATAGAACTTTCTGCAACAATGTAAAGGCTAAGGCAGGAGGTGAAGCAAGTTTGCAGAACCAGCAGCAGCAATTGCAGCCAAAGATGAAGGTGCTACAAGCTTCACCTAAAGGTAATTAGAGATTAGTGATTCATGATTTCTTTTTATTCCTTCATCAGACATTGAACATAGTGATAATGACAAATGGTTACTCTTTGTGCAGTGCTGTTGAACCAATCTCCAGTAGCAAGGACTGTGCAGCAAATGATGGACACAATGGAGAGGATGGTGGAGGATCCCTCGGTTTATGGTAGCACTTCACCTTGGATAGTTGCAGGAGATGATGAATACAGTAAGGGAAAGATTCCTTGGGCAATAAAGGAAGGTCAGAAAGATTACAGAATGAGATTCAACATGCCAGGAATGAACAAGAACGATGTCAAGGTATGGGTAGAAGAGAACATGCTGGTGGTGAAGGCCGAGAAGACACTCAAAGAGCACCATGAGGGTCAAGCAAACAGTAATGAAGAATCAAGTACAGAACATGAAGAAGATTGGCCTGCCAATAGCTATGGTAGATATAACCACAGGATAGCCCTCCCAGAAAACATTGAGTTTGATAAAATTAAGGCACAGGTCAAAGATGGAATTCTTCATGTAACAATTCCCAAAGCCAACACCTCTGCAAAAAAAATTAATATTGATGTACAGTAACTCTAAGCTCAAAATAAAGTTTGTTCACCGCTACATTCAGTTTTTGCCATCTAATTTCTGACATGAAGGATAAAATGAGCTTTATTCTCCCCACACAACCATGCTGACATATAATTTCAGTAGGAGTATCTGAAAATAAAAAGGTAAATCACTCTAGATGATACTAAAGGGTTTTACACAATAAATCCCGATGAAGTCAGTAAACGTATTCAGAGAATAAATTCCAAAGGTTCATGTTATTTCTCTTGTTAGTGATGTCATGCACAATCAAATGCAAATAGCCAAGCAAGGCTGATTGAGTCATGCAACCCCCTTTGTGTTCACAAAGTTTACAATAATCTGGCTTACAGATAAGCTAAACACATAGAGGTCATATGAAGTAAGCAATTTCTTTCTGCAATCTCTTTCTGCCTTCAAACATTCACTGGCAAATGGCAGAATGGTGTAAAATGAATTTTAACTGCAGTTTACACTTTATCCCTTACTTACACCTTTACCTTCTGAAAATGTAGGTTGATCTGACTGCACTTCACACTTTAACCATTAGTGACACCTTTATTTTTTAAAAATTTAGATTGAGAACTTCTTTGTGAAAAGAAGAATCAATTAGGATGGCTTTTTTTCTTTCTGCTGGTTTGTGAGATGAGCTTCAGCATTTGAGTTTCTCTTTTCATTCCTCTGGTATACAAAAGACAAGCCATAATTAGAGCCATTACAAAGTTTCTTTGATTAAGGTTATGGGTGAGAAGTTTTGCAGTAAATACCTGTGATATAAGTAAACGTAGACACAAAGATGTAGAACACATTTGTCTTCTTCTGCACAGGTCAACAAATCAGTCTATGAAAATTTCTCTTAATTTCATCCCTACAATCAAGGGAATTGCACCCCACAAATATTTTCTATCACTCCACCACAAAGTTGTCTTCTCTTTACTGAGATATCTATATCAAAGTAAGATCCCTTGTAACAAGTAAATGGCATCTTTTATAATTTTATTTCCAGTTAGGTACATAGTTTTTCAAATTACATTGTCAGCGTTTTCTGAATCCTTTACCGCAAACAAGGATTTCTGGAAATTGACCATCATTTAGACAAGATATCATAGATTTGGTTTGGACAAATATCATAGGCAACATAAAAGTACATACAAAAGTAAATTTAAAAAAAAAAACAATTATAAATTTCAGAATTACCCTGCGCCCTCTGGGGAAAGATTTCCTACTTCGAATGCAGTTGTGTGTATCACAGAATTGGTGCAAGAACAATTCTGTCAAATTTGACACAAAAGAAAGTAGTTTCATAAACCACCATAAATACTACTGCATCACAGATTGAGCAGAGAAAGTTACCAAAATTCTCATCTTTTGAGTTATTATTAGAAGATTTGCAAAGTTTAAACATTATAACATCCTAGTGAAAATGAAAGTGTTGAAATGTCATTTACTTTTGAAAAGGTAAGTTCAAGAACCAAAGCAACCATACAAGTCAATCCCCCAAGTATAAGTTTTTATTGATGAAGCCTAGTTTGTAATCCTGCCCTAATGCAGGTAGAGCACCAATAACTGAAACTACATGAAGAATAGTAAATTCCTCGGATATTTGATAGAGATCCCAGACTTTCCCTAGACATAATACCAATGGATCAACTCTCAAACCCTCTTCCTATATATAGGCAACATGCCTTATTATTCTAATTATTCCAGCCCCAAGTAACTAAGTCACTAATATAACTGGCAAATGACTAACTAACCCCTAATAGGGGCTCCTAACACTACATATTTTGTTGTGCTTCTTCCAGAGGAGGTAACTATCAAAACAGAAAGAGAACTTGAAGAAACTCAGCTCAAATTATGAGCTTTAAAACATTAAAGATAAAGTAAAAATCTGAAGGCTTTGTTATTTTTGGGATCATAAGATTTCAAGGTTTTTGGCTCATTCAATTAACTATATCAGTTTGTTTTACTACCAAACCACAAACTTTAGGAGAATCCACACTAATATCAACCAGAGTTAATTGTTTGGATATTATTCTAATACCTCTTGAATGATCTTCCAAGTGTTCTACTTCTTTCTCTAGAGCAATGTATTTGATGATTACCACCCACCTTATTCAAAATTCTGAACATTTACATGTTATATTAGACACACCAATTCCTGAATCCTGGGACAAGAAGCAAGAAAGACACAAAGATAGACCAAAACAAAGTAAAAGAAGGAAACAAATAAACAGAGCATATAAATTATTCGCTACTGTCAATTATGTATCATATGTAATATATAAAAATTAGTATAATAAGACTAAAATTAATAGAACTGACACACATTTTTTGTAACATTTGTTCAATGTCACAATAAAAAAAAAAAAAAAAAAAAAAATATATATATATATATATATATATATATATATATATATATATATATATATATATATAAAGGGAAAACTATAATTTTTCATTAGTGATCAATTAAAATTAAACCAAATTGCATATTTTAACGTCGGTCTTGGATAATTAATTTGACAAATTATGAAACACATGATGAATGGTAGGTAATCCAGACTTTGTTAATAATTCTTATCATTATCTTTTTCTAAATGGGTTAGATCTGTATGTGGACATCGCTCCTTCTCCATTTAGGAGGAAGGATTTTTTTTTGTTGGCAGCGTTATTTGAATATCAATATTCAAATATACTATAATGTAGGTAAAATTTACACGATTAGAATATTTTTAATAAGAAGTGTTTAGTATGTTGCAAGTCAAATTTTAACATATATTTTTAATAATTTTTTTAAATAAATATTGAATATATTTTTTTATTTATATAATTATATCAAATCAATATAAATATTTTTTTACATATCATAAAAGTATATTTATATAATTATATTATTAATATATTTTTATAAATATAGTAAATACAAATATATTTAATATATATATATATATATAATATTTAAATATTTATTTATCTTTTTATAAATATAATAAGATTTAATAAATATATTATATCTTTCTAGATAACATTTTTATATAAATAAATTATATATATTATTTAAATATATTTTTAATATAAAATAACTTTAGTAAGTAAAATAATATTTTTTATAGAAATATGATAAATATATTTTTATTAATATAATATAAAATAATTTTAATATAAAATGATATATAAATATTTTTATATATTTTTATAAATATGATAAATACATATCTATATTTTGTTATATACATTATAACTTTATTAAAAATAAATATAAATATATTCTTTTATATATAATAAAAATATATTGTATAATTATATGTTTAATATTTATATATACTTTTATAAATATATATATATATATATATATTACAATATTAGAAAAATACAAATAAATTTAATATTTAAATAAATTTAATAAATATGGATTTATTAAATTTATTTAAATATTAAATTTATTTGTATTTTTCTAATATTGTAATATATATATATATATATATATATATATATATATATATATATATATATATTTACATGAATGTAATAAGATATTTAATAAATACATATACTTGTATATTTAAACTTACATCATTCGTATGACCACCTAGCTTTTATGTTACTCACATGTCTACCCAAATTTTTCTACCACTCATATGACTATCTAACTCTCATGTTACTCACATGTCTATCTAAACTTACTTACTATTTGCACAATCACCTAATTTTTATATCACTTGCATACCTACCTAAACCCTCATATTATTGACATGACTATCTAACTTTCATGTCATTCATATACCTACCTAAACTTACTTATCATTTGCATGACCACCTAACTCTTATGTCACTGTCTACCTAAACTCTCATACCACTCACATGACTATATAACTCTCATGTCACTCACATGTCTATCTAAACTTACTTACCATTTGTATGACTACTTATCTCTTATGTCACTCACATGCTTATCTAAACTCTTCTACCACTTACATTACTACCTAACTTTCATGTCACTCATTATTATACAAAGTCTACTTTACCATCACTTCTCACACCAATTGCTTGTACCTTACCATCATTCCCAACATCAATTCCTCATAAGTTTAGACTTCCTATATCTTTTTTCTAGCCTTCTACACTTTCATCATTTTTATTATTTTTTCTTTCATATGGATTCTTTCATTCGAGTAGTAATCTTTTTGTTCCTAACCAATACCAAGATCGACACCATCACTCACAAACACAACCCACAACTCAAACATTTGATTTGAACAACACCTATTTAGGGCAATAGGAAGCTGATGTACAATCATACAACTAGCTTCTAACTGGTCCATCTACATCAAATGTTTTTTCCTCCCTTACCAATGATATCACAATACCATTACCTTCTTTTTTACTCAAAAATGAGACCTTAGGATTTCCTTCAGCATATTTAGAACCTTCTAATGATGATGAGGATGACATCCTCACACAACATGTACATGAGGATGATGACAACTTAGAGGTCCCTCCATGCAACAAAAATCTCAACATCATATACCTCATCCATACATCCCTCCCCAACATTTTGAAACCTATATCACACTTCCTTATGAACAAAATAGTGAGTTTGGTGATGCATTTGATCATGAATCAGTTGAACGTCCACTTGGATCATTATTTAAGGGAATGTGGTTCCAAAACAAGAAAGAAGTAGTTGACGCACTTAACAGGTTCCACATAATGAATCATTGTACCTACAAAGTCATACATTCTAACACCACCAGATTAAGAATGCAATATGTTGAGAGTCATTACAATTGGAAGTGTCAAGCGATCTTGCGCACTAATAAACAATTTTGGGAGATTCGAAAGATAGAATGAGCCCACACATGTGCTACGCCTTTGATATCACAAGATCACAATAAGTTGGGGTCACGTATAATTTCACAACATATTCGTGAATTTGTAGACGCAGACCCTTCTACCCCTATTGTAACTATTATTGCTCATATCAAATCCTCAGCTGGATATAG